AAGAGCAATGGCCAGGTTCTTGCAATCAATGAGGTATGAGAGCTGATATGGGATTTTTTTAAGGATTTTCTTTGTTTTTTGCATTGTTTTATTGTTTAATTGCCTGATTTGAAATGATGGTACTGACAAATGAAGTGGTGGTGAGTTGTGACTGTTGCTTCTTTTGTAATGCATGTGGACTTGCGGTGTTGAGTTGCCTATCATTAGGCTTTCTCGAAACAAAGAATGATTTTGGTGAAAAGGGATGGCTGTTTCTGTTCATTGTTTGTAAATTATTGTTTTAATGATAAAAGGGGCTGTGGCCTCAGTCTACAATCATGGATATGCAAAAGAGCATTATTATATACAACATATCCTTATGAGTACAATGAAAAAATGACAGTTTTGAGATACCATTGGCAGAGTCTCATGGATTATACCACGTTGTCATTCTAGTCAATGCTTTTGTAACCACCCCTAGGATGGTTACATGATTCCTTTAGTGATATAAATTAGAAGGTTGGCTGTGGAGGCTCATTTGATGATTGCTGGTTAGAAAAACAGAGGGAATTTGTGTAAGTGTTGATACCACTAGTATTCCACTTTGTAGACTTGGAATTAACAACCATGTGAATCTAGATTCTGCAATTTTATAGTGATCCTTGCATATCTTCTTTACGCAGTTATGAGTCTCTGATTTTGTTGAATTTTTATGTGGGCATGTAGGTTAGTTCAGTTTATTAGTTATGACAGATTTGTGGCATCTAGGCCTTGCTGACTCTCTCTATGTTTTCTCATATTTGAAAATGGGGGTTTGATCTAAAGTTGAATCCAAGTTAAAAAGGGTATGAAACAGCCCTGTACATGCTTAACACAGTTCAAGGCTAATATAATGGATGTCCAGGTTAACTCCTTAGAACTATGCCAAGGCTTTCAATGAAGAGTTTAGATGAAGTTGCACCAATGAAATTCTTTGAACTTGTAAGAAATTAGACGAAAGTTTAGTGACAATTTGCTTGGCTTAACTTGTAACTGAGCATTTTTCTTCTGTCTACTGTCTTGCTTTGTGGCTTGAAATACCTGCATTTTTTCTTGTGTTGGTGTGGATCCTACCAACTTGCAAAAATGTGTTGATTGTCCACATCAACTCAATGGTGCATTTATTCAAGCGGGTGTATGGAAATAAGCATTTTTTTTGTTTCTTCAACAAATAATATTAGTGTGTTAGAACTGAAATGATAAACCTAAGTTTTACAAGTATCGTTGATGTGTAAAGTCTATGAAAGGATAACTTGGACAGATTAATTTTACTTGTGTTTGTTATCTCCTACGTAAGTGCATTTAGATAATCCAGATTTTGATGTTACATTGATGAATAGCTCTTTTCCTTGATGCCTGTGTGGGCCATATTTCCCTTTAATTAAGACATGGATAATGTTGAACTGAAGAGAGAGATAAGCTGGTAGAATCCTTTTAACAGGAAATGGGCTTCTGTGTTGCCCATCCATTCCAATGATGTTAGCAGCTTGGAATTATAATTCCTCATCTCAGATTTAGACGTTTCCTTTTTAGCACCATTTGTTGTAGTTTTAAATGAATTGCCTGGTGGAAGGACAGATGCACTGGCTTTTCTGCAATTTTGTTGCGCCTTAGTGTTGCAAGCATCTTCAAATAATTGTTTTCTGATTGTAGATTTTTGAGAAGAATCCTACCAAGATCAAGAATTATGGAATATGGCTGCGATACCAGAGCAGAACTGGTTATCACAACATGTACAAGGAATACCGCGACACAACTCTTAATGGCGCTGTTGAACAAATGTACACTGAGATGGCATCTCGCCACAGGGTGAGGTTTCCATGCATCCAAATCATTAAGACAGCTACCATCCCAGCCAAGCTTTGCAAGAGAGAGAGTACGAAGCAGTTTCACAACTCCAAAATCAAATTTCCATTGGTGTTCAAGAAGGTTAGACCCCCATCCAGGAAGCTCAAGACAACATACAAGGCTTCCAGGCCCAACCTGTTTATGTGACGTGGTTCGTCGTTTTGCTGGTTCCTCAATATGTCAACTTGTTAGATTGAGTAGTTTGTTGAGCTAGAGTGAATTGGACATGATCTCTTTTATGAACTTGTTACTTTTGGTGAGATAGATCTGCATTTGTTGTTCACTCTTTCAAGTTTTGAATATCATGTGGTTTGTTAAGTTGCCCATGCGTTTTGAGGTTGCTTTTTTGATGTCATGATGAAACCTTTTTGGGGGCGTTATGTTGGCATTGCCGTGGAATTGCTAGATAATGGTGCTTTCCCAACTCAGGAAGAGTGCTTCTTGTACATCCGTAAATGAACCTGGAGCACTTCCAAAAATGATTTTTATTTTCAAATATGGTGCAGGGGAAAGAAAAACCTAACCTAAAGCATAAAACGTGAAAGCATAATTCTGTGGTAGAAATGTGATGCTAACACTTGTAGAGGCATGGTAAACATTGCTCTGTAACATGGAAGGTTCTAAAAGTTTTGAGTTATTTGGCAATGGCCAGGTTTAGACAATTTTCTCAGTGACAAATTCTTGGGGAGGAATGCATTTATAGGATAAAAGGGAGTGCCTGCCTGAACCGGAACCCCATCTCATGGCGTCATGACATGGATTTGATGAATTCATCTGTCCATTTATACGAAATATCATACATGCAAGATTTCTCAATACACGCGCGCGCGCGCACAAGTACTCTCTGGCATTTATTTCTCCAGATTTCTCCGTCACTTGCGCTCCTATATTTGCTTTTGCACCAAAACAGTTCGAGCAGCAATCAAATTGATGAGGCAAGTTCCCTAAATTGATAGATAAAAATATATGAAATAAAGTTCTGAGATTAGACATGAATCGTGGCTAATGCCAGAGCAAATAAATTCGCCATCACAACTTTAATAGCTAGAACTAGATAATTCGCCTGCATTAGAACTAGATAATTCGCCTGCACTATTATGTTATAGGTATAATCAATTTTTTAATGTAAAAAAAATATTTAAATATTTTTAATAAAAAAATAATAAACTTAAAATATGATGCATCTTAAATGACAACTTCTAAAATATTGATACGTTGATAGGGAGAATGTTATTTTTCATAAAAAAATATATATTAAAATAATGATATATTAAATTAATTTAGGTTAATTTATCAAATCTGCATCCCAAGTAATGAGATAATTAATTTCTAGTTAATCTAATATTGAATAATAAAATTAAAAAAAAACTCGAATAAACCTAAATTAACTTACTAAACCTCACAACATGAGTTATTAGATCAAAATAACCAAATAAAAAGAAAAAGAAATATAAAGCTCAATTTCTAACCAATTTGATGTTGAAAAAAAAATTTCACAAAAAACCAAAATCTTGTTAAACTCACGACATGAATTGACATGAATTCATGACAACTTCATAAAAAGTTAATAAAAAAAATTGAAGCTCCATTTCCAACAAAAACAATGTTGAATCTTGAAATCAATAAAAAAAAATCCATGAGAGCTAGGATATCTTTAAAAAAGCAAATTGAAACAAAAAATTATAAAATTCAATTCTCAAATAATCTAATATTGAGAATGAAATTTCATATATATGAAATTGAAAAAACAAATCAATTAAAAAATAACAAAAAAATTGAACCGAAATAATTTGAGTTAACTTGTTAAACTAACAATCAAGTTATAAAATTAGGATAACTCGATAAAAAACAAGTATAAAAAAATTATGAAACCTAATTAAAAAATATTTAATTAAATAAGATATAAAAAAATAAGCAGAGTTAACCTGAATTAATATATAAAACTCGTAACTCGGGTTATGAGATTGAGATAACCCCATAGAACACAAATAAAAAAATTATAAAGCCCAATGTTTAACCAATTAAATATTAAAGAATAAGATTGAAAAAACAAATCCAATAAAATAATCCAAATTGACCTTCTGTTAAACCTGTGACGTAGATTATGAAATCTGAATAAATTCATAAAAAGCAAATTAAAAAGAATTACAAAGCTCTACTTACAACTAATTTAATATTTAAGATTGAGACCAAGAAAAAACAAAATCCATGAGACTAATATATAACTTAACATAAAAAAAATGAAAAAAAATTATAAAACACAATTACCAAACTAACTAAATATTAAAGAATAAAATTAAAAAAAATTAAGTTATTAAAAGATAAGATAAAAAAATATTATTCTAATTAATAGTGTTTTATCTCTATGGCTAAAGTGATTTCACCTCCCCTTTAGTGCTTTGTTAATAATAATAATGTTTGAAAAGTAATGTTTGTTTCAAAGGAAGGAGGAAATTGAGAATTGTAGGAAAAAATGAAGGTGGGATAGTTGCCTTCTATCCCATAAATAACTAGGAACTACCCACCCCTCTAATTAAAGCTTTTGCTATCATTTTTACAAATGTTTGACCTAAGTAAAAAAAAAAAAAAAAGAGAGTTCACTTGCATTGAAAGCATGGCTGCATTTTACAATATTTTTCCTTGCCTAACCTTGATCAGAGTAGTTAGCTAGTTGATTGTAAATAGAAAATAATGTGAATATTTAATGCTTTCTTAAAAGAAAAACAAGTAAAACAAGAAATGTATTCAATGAGGCAAGAAATGTATTCAATGAGGCATGAAATGATATGGATGAATTATTTAATGCTTTCATGTTGGATGGTGGCTTGGTTTTGTATAGGTTGTTCATTATGATTAAATTACCTTTTTTATTTGCACAATAGTTTTCATTTGTAATCCATTTTGAAATCTCACTTATGCAAAATAAACAATCAATTTTAGTCAAGGAATTAGCCTATTCTTTTTAAAAATAGAAGGACTAATTTATAAAACAATAAAAAAATACAAGATATAAAAATATTTAACGGAAAAATAGGGCTCGTCCGGTATTTGGTCATGAACTTGGGCTGGGCTGACGCTAAGCATTTAGGGCCCAGTCCAATCTAACAACGAGGAGGAAACTAGGGTTTTAAACGCTCCCTCGTACGCTTCTCTGCAAAGCTTAAAAAGAGGGAAAGAAAGGAAGGAGGAAACCTTATTGGTGGCCGGCGGCTTGTCTCCCAAGCACATAAAAAATGGTTACTTTCAGGGTATGTGTGTGGCCTTAATTTTTTTTTTTTAATTATTCATTAATGGATCTAAATATAAAGATGTTTGATTGATTGTGGAATGAAACAGTTTCACCAGTACCAAGTGGTCGGGAGAGCGCTTCCAACAGAGAGTGATGAGCACCCTAAGATCTACCGCATGAAGCTTTGGGCCACTAATGAGGTCCGTGCCAAATCCAAGTTTTGGTATGTATCTATTTTCACTTCTCACCTCTCTCTCTCTCTCTACTATTTTTCTTTGCTAGTTTTTTATTATTTGCTAAGTCCGTTTGTTGATTATAGGTACTTCTTGAGGAAGCTTAAGAAAGTCAAGAAGAGCAATGGACAGGTTCTTGCAATCAATGAGGTATGTGAGCTGAAATGGGATTTTTTTTAGGATTTTCTTTGTTTTTTGCTTTGTTTTATTGTTTAATTGCATGATTTGAAATGATGGTACTGACAAATGAAGTGGTGGTGAGTTGTGACTGTTGCTTCTTTTGTAATGCATGTGGACTTGCGGTGTTGAGTTGCCTATCATTAGGCTTTCTCGAAACAAAGAATGATTTTGGTGAAAAGGGATGGCTGTTTCTGTTCATTGTTTGTTAATGATTGTTTTAATGATAAAAGGGGCTGTAGCCTCAGTCTACAATCATTGGTATGCAAAATAGCATTATTATATACATGTCCTTATGAGTGCAATGAAAAAATGACTGTTTTGAGATCCCATGGCAGAGTCTCATGGATTATACCCCATTGTCATTCTAGTCAATGCTTTTGTAACCACCCCTAGGATGGTTACATGATTCCTTTAGTGATATAAATTAGAAGGTTGGCTGTGGAGGCTCATTTGATGATTGTTGGTTTAAAAAACATAGGGAATTAATGTAAGTGTTGATACCACTAGTATTCCACTTTGTAGACTTGGAATTAACAACCATGTGAATCTAGATTCTGCAATTTTATAGTGACCCTTGCATATCTTCTTTACGTGGTTATGAGTCTCTGATTTTGTCAATTTTTTATGTAGGCATGCCTGTGGGCATGTTGGTTAGATCAGTTTATTAGTTATGACAGTCAGATTTGTGGCTTCTCGACCTTTCTGTCTCTCTCTATGTTTTCTCATATTTGAAAATGGGGGTTTGATCTAAAGTTGAATCTGAGTTAAAAAGGCATGAAACAACCCTGTGCATGTTTAACAGAGTTCAAGGCTAATATGATGGATGTCCAGGTTAACTCCTTAGAACCATGCCTAGGCTTTCAATGAAGAGTTTAGATGAAGTTGCACCAATGAAATTCTTTGAACTTGTAAGAAATTAGACGAAAGTTTAGTGACAATTTGCTTGGCTTAACTTGTAACTGAGCATTTTTCTTCTGTCTACTGTCTTGCTTTGTGGCTTGAAATACCTGCATTTTTCTTGTGTTGGTGTGGATCCCACCAACTTGCAAAAAAGTATTGATTGGCCATATCAACTCAATAGTTCATTGATTCAAGTGGGTGTGTGGAAATAAGCATTTATTTTGTTTCTTCAACTATTAATATTAGTGTGTTAGAACTGAAATGATAAACCTAAGTTTTACAAGTATCGTTGATGTGTAAAGCCTATGAAAGGATAACTTGGACAGATTAATTTTACTTGTGTTTGTTATCTCCTACATAAGTGCATTTAGATAATCCAGATTTTGATGTTACATTGATGAATATTTTATAGCTCTTTTCCTTGATGCCTGCGTTGGCCAAATTTCCCTTCAATTAAGGTAAGGATAATGTTGAACTGAAAAGAGAGTTAAGCTGGTAAAATCCTTTTAACAGGAAATGGGCTTCTGTGTTACCCATCCATTCCAATGATGTTAGCAGCTTGGAATTAAAATTCGTCATCTCTGATTTAGACGCGTCCTTTTTAGCACCATTTGTGGTACTTGTAAATGAATTGCCTGGTGGAAGGACAGATGCACTGGCTTTTCTGCAATTTTGTTGCGCCTTAGTGTTGCAAGCATCTTCAAATAATTATTTTCCGATTGTAGATTTTTGAGAAGAATCCTACCAAGATCAAGAATTATGGAATATGGTTGCGATACCAGAGCCGAACTGGTTATCACAACATGTACAAGGAATACCGCGACACAACTCTTAATGGCGCTGTTGAACAAATGTACACTGAGATGGCATCTCGCCACAGGGTGAGGTTTCCATGCATCCAAATCATTAAGACAGCTACCATCCCAGCCAAGCTTTGCAAGAGAGAGAGTACGAAGCAGTTTCACAACTCCAAAATCAAATTTCCATTGGTGTTCAAGAAGGTTAGACCCCCATCCAGGAAGCTCAAGACAACATACAAGGCTTCCAGGCCCAACCTGTTTATGTGACGTGGTTCGTCGTTTTGCTGGTTCCTCAATATGTCAACTTGTTAGATTGAGTAGTTTGTTGAGCTAGAGTGAATTGGACATGATCTCTTTTATGAACTTGTTACTTCTGGTAAGATAGATCTGCATTTGTTGTTCACTCTTTCAAGTTTTGAATATCATGTGGTTTGTTAAGTTGCCTGTGCGTTTTGAGGTTGCTTATTTTATGTCATGATGAAGGCTTTTTGGGGGCGTTATGTTGGCATTGCCGTGGAATTGCTAGAGAATGATGCTTTCCAACTCCGGAAAAGTGCTTCTTGTAGCTCCTTGAATGAACCTGGAGCACTTTCGAAGATCATTTTTATTTTCAAATATGGTGCAGGGGAAAGAAAAACCTAACCTAAAGCATAAAACGTGAAAGCATAATTCTGTGGTAGAAATGTGATGCTAACACTTGTAGAGGCATGGTAAACATTGCTCTGTAACATGGAAGGTTCTAAAAGTTTTGAGTTATTTGGCAATGGCCAGGTTTAGACAATTTTCTCAGTGACAAATTCTTGGGGAGGAATGCATTTATAGGATAAAAGGGAGTGCCTGCCTGAACCGGAACCCCATCTCATGGCGTCATGACATGGATTTGATGAATTCATCTGTCCATTTATACGAAATATCATACATGCAAGATTTCTCAATACACGCGCGCGCGCGCACAAGTACTCTCTGGCATTTATTTCTCCAGATTTCTCCGTCACTTGCGCTCCTATATTTGCTTTTGCACCAAAACAGTTCGAGCAGCAATCAAATTGATGAGGCAAGTTCCCTAAATTGATAGATAAAAATATATGAAATAAAGTTCTGAGATTAGACATGAATCGTGGCTAATGCCAGAGCAAATAAATTCGCCATCACAACTTTAATAGCTAGAACTAGATAATTCGCCTGCATTAGAACTAGATAATTCGCCTGCACTATTATGTTATAGGTATAATCAATTTTTTAATGTAAAAAAAATATTTAAATATTTTTAATAAAAAAATAATAAACTTAAAATATGATGCATCTTAAATGACAACTTCTAAAATATTGATACGTTGATAGGGAGAATGTTATTTTTCATAAAAAAATATATATTAAAATAATGATATATTAAATTAATTTAGGTTAATTTATCAAATCTGCATCCCAAGTAATGAGATAATTAATTTCTAGTTAATCTAATATTGAATAATAAAATTAAAAAAAAACTCGAATAAACCTAAATTAACTTACTAAACCTCACAACATGAGTTATTAGATCAAAATAACCAAATAAAAAGAAAAAGAAATATAAAGCTCAATTTCTAACCAATTTGATGTTGAAAAAAAAATTTCACAAAAAACCAAAATCTTGTTAAACTCACGACATGAATTGACATGAATTCATGACAACTTCATAAAAAGTTAATAAAAAAAAATTGAAGCTCCATTTCCAACAAAAACAATGTTGAATCTTGAAATCAATAAAAAAAAATCCATGAGAGCTAGGATATTTTTAAAAAAGCAAATTGAAACAAAAAATTATAAAATTCAATTCTCAAATAATCTAATATTGAGAATGAAATTTCATATATATGAAATTGAAAAAACAAATCAATTAAAAAATAACAAAAAAATTGAACCGAAATAATTTGAGTTAACTTGTTAAACTAACAATCAAGTTATAAAATTAGGATAACTCGATAAAAAACAAGTATAAAAAAATTATGAAACCTAATTAAAAAATATTTAATTAAATAAGATATAAAAAAATAAGCAGAGTTAACCTGAATTAATATATAAAACTCGTAACTCGGGTTATGAGATTGAGATAACCCCATAGAACACGAATAAAAAAATTATAAAGCCCAATGTTTAACCAATTAAATATTAAAGAATAAGATTGAAAAAACAAATCCAATAAAATAATCCAAATTGACCTTCTGTTAAACCTGTGACGTAGATTATGAAATCTGAATAAATTCATAAAAAGCAAATTAAAAAGAATTACAAAGCTCTACTTACAACTAATTTAATATTTAAGATTGAGACCAAGAAAAAACAAAATCCATGAGACTAATATATAACTTAACATAAAAAAAATGAAAAAAAATTATAAAACACAATTACCAAACTAACTAAATATTAAAGAATAAAATTAAAAAAAATTAAGTTATTAAAAGATAAGATAAAAAAATATTATTCTAATTAATAGTGTTTTATCTCTATGGCTAAAGTGATTTCACCTCCCCTTTAGTGCTTTGTTAATAATAATAATGTTTGAAAAGTAATGTTTGTTTCAAAGGAAGGAGGAAATTGAGAATTGTAGGAAAAAATGAAGGTGGGATAGTTGCCTTCTATCCCATAAATAACTAGGAACTACCCACCCCTCTAATTAAAGCTTTTGCTATCATTTTTACAAATGTTTGACCTAAGTAAAAAAAAAAAAAAAAGAGAGTTCACTTGCATTGAAAGCATGGCTGCATTTTACAATATTTTTCCTTGCCTAACCTTGATCAGAGTAGTTAGCTAGTTGATTGTAAATAGAAAATAATGTGAATATTTAATGCTTTCTTAAAAGAAAAACAAGTAAAACAAGAAATGTATTCAATGAGGCAAGAAATGTATTCAATGAGGCATGAAATGATATGGATGAATTATTTAATGCTTTCATGTTGGATGGTGGCTTGGTTTTGTATAGGTTGTTCATTATGATTAAATTACCTTTTTTATTTGCACAATAGTTTTCATTTGTAATCCATTTTGAAATCTCACTTATGCAAAATAAACAATCAATTTTAGTCAAGGAATTAGCCTATTCTTTTTAAAAATAGAAGGACTAATTTATAAAACAATAAAAAAATACAAGATATAAAAATATTTAACGGAAAAATAGGGCTCGTCCGGTATTTGGTCATGAACTTGGGCTGGGCTGACGCTAAGCATTTAGGGCCCAGTCCAATCTAACAACGAGGAGGAAACTAGGGTTTTAAACGCTCCCTCGCACGCTTCTCTGCAAAGCTTAAAAAAGGGAAAGAAAGGAAGGAGGAAACCTTATTGGTGGCCGGCGGCTTGTCATGCCACGGGTTCGCGGGTCGTTACATAAAAAATGGGTACTTTCAGGGTATGTTTGTGGTCTTAATTCTCTTTTTTTTTTTAATTATTCATTAATGGATCTAAATATAAAGATGTTTGATTGATTGTGGAATGAAACAGTTTCACCAGTACCAAGTGGTCGGGAGAGCGCTTCCAACAGAGAGTGATGAGCACCCTAAGATCTACCGCATGAAGCTTTGGGCCACTAATGAGGTCCGTGCCAAATCCAAGTTTTGGTATGTATCTATTTTCACTTCTCACCTCTCTCTCTCTCTCTACTATTTTTCTTTGCTTGTTTTTTATTATTTGCTAAGTCCGTTTGTTGATTATAGGTACTTCTTGAGGAAGCTTAAGAAAGTCAAGAAGAGCAATGGACAGGTTCTTGCAATCAATGAGGTATGTGAGCTGAAATGGGATTTTTTTTAGGATTTTCTTTGTTTTTTGCTTTGTTTTATTGTTTAATTGCCTGATTTGAAATGATGGTACTGACAAATGAAGTGGTGGTGAGTGGTGACTGTTGCTTCTTTTGTAATGCATGTGGACTTGCGGTGTTGAGTTGCCTATCATTAGGCTTTCTCGAAACAAAGAATGATTTTGGTGAAAAGGGATGGCTGTTTCTGTTCATTGTTTGTAAATTATTGTTTTAATGATAAAAGGGGCTGTGGCCTCAGTCTACAATCATGGATATGCAAAAGAGCATTATTATATACAACATATCCTTATGAGTACAATGAAAAAATGACAGTTTTGAGATACCATTGGCAGAGTCTCATGGATTATACCACGTTGTCATTCTAGTCAATGCTTTTGTAACCACCCCTAGGATGGTTACATGATTCCTTTAGTGATATAAATTAGAAGGTTGGCTGTGGAGGCTCATTTGATGATTGCTGGTTAGAAAAACAGAGGGAATTTGTGTAAGTGTTGATACCACTAGTATTCCACTTTGTAGACTTGGAATTAACAACCATGTGAATCTAGATTCTGCAATTTTATAGTGA